TAAATTTGAAAGCTCTTAATTCGACATTAAATGTTCATCGCTACAACTACTATATTGTTATCGTTAAGCAAAGAGCACAAAACCCAGGCTAATCGTAGTCAATCTTGTAAATTACATTTGCCATTTACAAAATATAAAAGAAAAGAAGAAAAGAACTAAAAGCAACCCGTATATGTGAGTCTGGAAATTTCAAAAGTCCCGAAATCTTGGGAATCATCCGTGTTCGAAATCAGTTTAAGTGTCGCCAAAGAGGTTCGGCACCCTTGGGATTCGGATCGTTTAATTGCGTGGGCGAGAGAGTGGGGCCATCGAATGGAGGCACGGCGGGTAGAATAAGAGTCTTCTTGCCTCTCTCTTTCACTGTCTCTCTCTCACCTCCGGGCCTATATCGTCGGAGGCGACGCAGATGAGCAGCGACTCCGTCGAGGCAGAAGTGGGTCGAACCAGCTGTGACGACGCCGTGGCTATGGCAAGTGCAGTCTCCAGGATTGCGAAGAGAAGAAAACCTAATTCGGTTCTTTTTTTCTCAACCTGCCCCAACACCACGTGGATGCGTATATATATCGCTCTCCCGCCTTTCTCCTACTGCGCTTGCGAATGTACGTATATGCGTGTACGAAGATCGATCGTCGCACACTGACGAGTCCAACTGGACCTCCGCGGCGAAAAGGGCTCTTGCAACTGGCGAGGACTTACTTGCACGAGCAGCGGCGGCTACAAACTGAGAGAGCTTGCAGCAGCAGCGACCGAACGAGTCGAGAGGCTGCGAGAGAGAGAGAGAGAGAGAGAGAGAGAGAGAGAGAGAGAGAGAGAGAGAGAGAGCGAAAGCGCCGGGCGCCTGCGCTGCCAATTTTCCACATGGTCCCTCTACCACCACCCACCATCCCCAAGAGCTTTCTCTCGGCTTTTCTGCGCAATACCTATCCACACGTACATACACACGCACCCGCGCAAGCTCTCTCTCTCTCTCTCTCTCTTTTCCATTCAAGCTGTGCAAGTGCTCATTTACGACTTGTATATGAGCACCTCTCTCTCTCTTTCTATCTTCCTCTCATAAACACATACTCAAATTCCTCTATTTGTCAATAACCGAGCCATACGCTCTACACAGTATTTAGAGTCAGTTTGTCAGTACTACGTCTTCTACTGACTTTACATTTGCCAGCGATTTCTGTTTCGAGCATTCAATATTTTTTTCTTTTATGATAAACAATTTTTATAGCTGTAGAATTTTTGTTGTTCAACGATAACAATAATAACAATAACAATGAAAGCGCAGAGAAAAGAGGAACAAAAGTAACCTTCATCAGTTGAAGTAGTCGTTTATTCATCGCAACGTTTCGTAAACCGCGCGCCCGCCATTGCTCTCTCCCTCTTTTCCTCTCTCGCGCGCTCATTCTTTTTGTCGAGCTTGCGAAGTGCTTTCGTAGGTAACAAGCGCGCATAAATAGCCCCTGGCAATTATTTACTTGAAAATGAATGGGCCCTAGTAGTAGTAGTAGTAGTAGTAGTAGTAGTAGTAGTAGTAGTAATAGCAGTAGTAGTAGTAGTAGTCGTAGCTAGCGTTTCATAGCGTACATGACAATTAGCGTAATTTAATTGCTACATGAACTTTTAATCAAGGGGTTTCGCCCCTTCATGCCGTCCTCGAGCAGCTTCTATGTACGCATGTATACACATACAGGCCGCGCTATAGTGCACATAACGTTACGTAATTCCGATGAACACATAACACTCGGCAAACAGAGGCAATTTGCTTAAAGCACGCGCGCAAACGTTGGCGCGGTACACTCTGATAAACAGCACTCTCTCTCTCTTTCTCTCTCTCTCTCTTCCTCTCCCTCTCCCTCTCCCTCTCTCGCAGGGCCCCGCTCCACGATTAAACTCTCCAGATTAAAGGCTCCATTAAAAATGTTTATTCATAAGTTGAAGTTGGCCCCTCGCCTTCCTCGGCGGAAAGTTTGGCTGGCTTACAATCTTGGCCGTTCAAAGAAGGCGAAAACCGGCGTGGCGGCGCACGAGGAACAGATATGACGCGAAAACTTTTCTATTAACATAGCAGACCGCCTTCTTCTGCATCCTCTGGAAGAGCATAATAAATTGCTCGGCGGACTCCCCCCCCCCCTCTTTAGCCCACATTCCATGCGCCTATATAACCGCGGAGCTGCCAAGCGGCAGAATGGAGTCTCGACGTCTTATTAGCGGAGGAAGCCTACCCACCCCCGCGGGCTATGCTGCTGTCCGTCTCTTTATACTCTCCTTCCCGCCGAGCGCGGTAACTCGATCTACAACCCCCTCCGCCTTTCTATCCAGTTTCCCGACACTCCGCACTCGCACACACTTGCTGCAAAAAAATGAGGGATATTTGTCGGCTAGCTCTCAATAGAGCTGTATCGCCCGGGACGAGTTTTCTTTTATTTATTTTTCTCCTTCATGCCTCTTCGCTTCGCTTTCTAATAATTCCTCTTTTGATTTTCGACAATGAGCGTAGCAAAAGGATTTTTCTTCGACGTTTCTTGAAAAACTTTTGTCATTTTTCGTTTTGTTTCGAGAATTGTTTCCAGATACTCTTCGTAATTATAACTACTGAAGACAAGGGAAGTAAGGGTGAACAATTGTCAAATGTTGTTACACGTTTTCATATTGTTTCGGCAAAAATTTTCTTACACGATCAACTCAAATGGGCTATTTGATTTTGTGCAATAAATTTACTTTCTCAACGTTATCTCCACGGTAGCTGATATTTCTTTATTTGGAAGATTACAACAATTATAAAGGTTTTTGTAACTGTAGCTTTATCATTTGCTCGCAATGGTATATTTTTTAAATACCATCGTGAACTTACTCGGGAATTACAAAAGTATTCTATTTACATGGTTAGAAAAAAAATGAGCGGAAGAAACCCCTGCTGTGAACTCTCACTCTGACAAGCATCATCAATCTTTCTTTTGTTTCAAAACAATATCGTATGTAAGGGAATTCGAGTTTTTGAAAAGTCATTCAACCGCTGGTAATGTAGGAATTCCGATAGGGACTTCAACACATAATATACAACTTTTTATCGTCGTAAAAAATGATCCGTAAGAGCGCAAAACGATAATGTCATAACTCACTTTCCGATAATCTGCGATAAAAAATTGATTCTTCTAGAAAGCCGTAAAAAAACTTTGAGTTATAGTCTACTAAAAAGATAGATGAAGAAAGAAAAAAGGCAAAGTATAAGGCCTCGAAGTAAAAACTAATTAACCCTCATTAAATTCTTTGTGCGTCGTAAGAGTAAGCCGATCAGAAGCAAAATTACTAGATAATATCAAATTACTGTCATTACAGAGAAAATCGGGAGAGGCATTCTTTACTCCGGACACGGTCGCGACAATGGCAATCTATTCGCAACAAAAGCAAAACGAAAGAGCAGCGGCAAAAGCGAAACAGAACGAAGTAAAAAAATGTAGAAAATGAAGAAGAAAGTCAAAGCAATCTGTCTCAAATATTCGCCCTTTCATTTTCCCGGTGTGCGGGCGTCATCTCAATTCGCCTCGTAAAACTTCGTGAATCTTCCCGTGGTGCACGTATACAGTAGTGTGCTTGACGCTTCTGGGAGTATATGTGCGCATTGCATATGCATGGTACACGTAAAGTGTAAAAGTTATGTGTCGCACCGGCAAGAGCTCGAGCTCGCGGGAAAGGACTCTGTAGAGAAAGAGCGCGAGAGCTTCCGGTGGCCGACGAGTGCCTCAGATATGAGTCAGCTTCGTCGACTCCTCCTTTATGTATAACGAAAGCTACCGCCGCCGCAACCTGTCCATTCGCGATTATTCGTCTCTCTATGTGTATGCACGTCCACGAGTGAACGTTCGTTCATGTATAGATTCCTTGAAGATAACGAGCGAAGATCATGAAAAATTTCTCTGTCGAGTCGTTCATATACATATACATGCGCGTTCGTGCGTGCGTGCGTGCGTGCGTGCGCGCGTGTGTGTGTTTGCGGATTACACGGATATCTTGAAAAAACGGGGTGGTGATCCAGTATGGAAAAAGAGTTGACTATACGTGAGCTCGACATCATTACAAAAGTGAGGGCGTGAATTTTATGAGCATCACGAGTAGCGACAGCAGACGTTGAGACGTTACTGATGCTTCTCCTTTCTTTTATCTTTCTCGTTTTTCAATTTTTGACTGGCGCGTATACGAAGAAATACGAACGATGAAAAACGATCAGGACTCGCATCTTTTTTCTTTGCACAGCTGCGTGCAAAAAAACTATACCACGGTTCGCAACATTTATGAATTTACTGCGCATGTAACTTTAAGACTTTATGACAGTGTTACTTTCTCTCTCCAAGTTATGGCTTAATGTCAATTTACTTATTTTTCTAAAATATATTTGCTGTGATTTGCAGATTATTTTGTTGCATAACCACTTATACATGTCACAGCTGTAAATAAAACAGGTTTGTTTACAAAAAAATTATCAATTTAAAAAAATACTGTCCAAAATAAACAGTATTCAGAGAAATCTCAAAAGATGTATCATCATTTAAAAGCTAATTTTGAAAGAATACGATTTCTATCCCTAACATTTTTAATACTTTTTTAACAATCATTTGATTCGTTAATTATAGTAAAATAATTGTGAAAAGGAGCTTTTTATGTAATTACAATAAGGGCGATACAGATGAGTTTGGATGTTAGTATGTATTATTTTGTTATTAACTTTTACAATGTTGTAAGTCTAGTGTGCTTTACCATGCAAGGAACCGTGTAATTATTTTCATATTTCATTTTAATAATACTGTACAAAACAAAGAAAATGAAGGAACTGATAGAAACCAAGTATGTACAAATATATATATGAGATGACTACTATAATAATTTGAAATTAATAAAAGCTCTATCAAAACAAGTGAAAGATGTGCCAAAGATCCATTGAAATAAAAAAGTGCTAAATTAATGTACAGCAACTTACTTCCCTAAAATTGAGTAATTTACACATTACTAACCTCAATTTGTAGGCAGAATAACATTTTCTAGAATAAATATGAAAACCTCGATTATATAAATAAATAATTAATGCGATAAATGAGCTCGTTAATAAATTAGAATATTCTCAGGCGGATGCAAAGTGATGAGACAAAGATACTTACCTCGCCATTGCCATCGTAATAAACGAGATGGTGACGAGTCAGGACGAACCAGCGTTGTTTGTAGTTAACAGGTGTGAAGCGCTTTTTGTTTTGCGACCGCTTCACCATAAAACCCTGCCTCACAATTTCATTTTCTTGGGGTTCGAGTTTTCCATCCTTCCCTGCCATCCCTTACAGAAGTGTCTGAGTTCAGCCTGCACAAAAACAGTAATTGAATATTAAAAAAAACAAGTATTTTAAATAATAGTGAGTAAAATGACATGATAACGACAAATTACGAGTTATTTTAAATAATTTCTATATAGATTGTTTTCTCCTTTCTCGTATTATAAAAAAGTGATGGCCTGACGAGCGAAGCATTAATAATCTGATTGGCTGAAAGGTATTCACGTGGGTAACTATCGTGTGACAGCACTATGTATGTACATGTATTAGACATAGTGTAACGATAATAATATTAGCACAGCAATTGACATGTGCATCGAAGTGGTGCTAACAAATAGCTTGAGTCATTTTACATCGATTTATTAGCACTTAATTGAATGAATAAAAAATAAGTAAGACGATCTGTATGGGCGCATTAAAAAGAGAATAAAATGCCATATGGTTAATCTACATGGCTGAGCCGAAAAATTTATTGAATATTTTTGTTATAAGCTTCAAATAAACATAATCAATGATGAACATAATTAGAAATTGATAATTATTTCATGTAAAATAGTATAAAACTGTCAAATGATTACAGTCCATTCAATGCAGTAACTTATTTAAAAATTCTTTAAATCAAACTTATAAATGTACATATACCTTTATATGTTACATGAGTGAATACTTAGAATTTAGTTTGGCAAATTTTACGTCAAATGAGCCGTAACCATAGGCAAAAAAAATTAAGAAAATTCAATTGTCAGGTGTAGCTGACGATTCGATTTATTTACAAAACGAAAAAAAAGAACTTGGTGCACTTTCCATTACCTGTAGATAAACACCTAAGAAATTTCTTCATTGTTAGATTTGAAATTATTATTAAATATGAACTTAATTTTGAATTTTTACTTTCCAATTAATGTCGATGGATGTTAAGCATTTCAAATCATAGAATTGTTTTGTTTATACGATGCATTTTTTAATTTCACCTGTAATAAATTCGATTTAATTTGAGCATCAAACTACTAAATGTCAATACAATCAAGAAATAACGGTACTAGTTTTGATAAAAGAATTATTTAAAGACTGATAAGAATAAACGCAGAATATTATAGTTATAAGTTGAGCTTTGAGCTCACAGAGTATATTTTATGAGATATTTTAGTCATCGGAAAGTTTGCTCGATTTTTATAGGAGTCAAAGTAGCGTGAACGAACCTGCACAATCTTTGCAAGTCGTAGCAAGTTTAAGTGAATTGCCCCTACTTACTTAAAACTCTGAAACTACTTTAATATCACACAGCATGCGTTTAAAAAGTTGCACATTCATTTTTGAAAGTGCATAATAGAATTTTTATTCACAGCTATTACAATATTCAGATAATTCATCAAAGATATTAACAATCCGTTCAAAAATTGAATAAAGTTGAACAGAACAAATTTAAATTCGTTCTACAATTAATTATAATAAATCTGTCGGCTTTTGTAATTCACGCATGATAAACTCTATCCTCCAACTCATTATAACAATGAGTAGAGCAAAGTTGGTGAACAAGTTCCAGCAACTCTGATAAAGTAATTCAGCGAGAGAGAAGAGAGCTAGAAAAGAGAGTTGACAAAACAGGAAAAACTTTATCATATCTTTAGTTTCCACTGAGTCAGACCGCGCGCTTTAGTCTGATTACAAGAATAACAGAACACAGACTCGGAGTAAGTAAGTGCGAAAAAACAAAGTTTGGTCGTTCCAGCTATGCAAGTCCATTTGCTAGAGTAAAGCCGCAGCAACGAGAATGGGGAAAAAATGAAGGCAGTAGCACGCGAATGGAGAGGGAAAATGCAACAAGTGCAGCCAGTGGCAGCAGCCTTTCAATAAGCAGCAGCGCTGAGCGCGCAGCAGCTGTAAAATAACCACGCGCGAAATGGCACTTACGAAAAGTAAAAGGATCGGAAAAGCCGAGTACGCGCCCATTATGTGTATCCATGCAAAATGATAATACAGAGAGAGAGAGAGAGAGAAAGAGAAAGAGGGAGAGGGAGGGGACGAGAGAGAGAGAGAGAGAGAGAGAGAGAGAGAGAGAGAGAGAGAGAGAGAGAGAGAGAGAGAGAGAGAGAGAGCACGCGGATAAAAGGACATGCGGTAAAAAGAAGAATGCACTAAAACAATCACCTGGATGCCCTTGAAGCCACGATGAAAAAGAGAGACACTATACACATGCACATAGAGAGCGTTTTGACTGTGTGTGATCCATACACGACAAAAGAGACGACGTTTCTTTTTCTCTCACGATATTACTCGATGGAACGAAAAGAGTGAAATTATAAAATAAACAGCGCGGAGAAGACTAAGTGCGCCGACACTACGGCCGGATGGAAGGAGAGAAAAAAAAACGGAAATGAACGAGAAGACGTTACCTCTCTCTTCTCGCGCGCACGCATAAAAAAGATACATTTTATCTTTGGAATTCCAGTGGAAATGTGTACTTTAGGTAAAGCCTTACCTGCGCACAGTCCACTTTGTGTGCGTGTCAATTTTTTCAAGGGGTAAGAATGCACCTACTTTCCTTTTATCGACCGAAAACCTTTTTAGAAAGCCTATTTTAGGTGACACCGGCTTTGTTTGCTGTTTTGTCGCGCCGCGCGCGCATTCAATTTGCGTGAGTGTCTTATATACTTTGTTCGCTCTTGAATGCGTAAATTTCTCTTACAGTGCGTAATCACAATATTATTCATCGAGCGGACTATTTTAGTTGCGAAACGCGGTTCGTATTGATAAGCACTCTGCGGAAAATCTAATCAAGAGTGGTTGTAGTCGAATGTTTTAATTTTTGTTAATTTGATTTCCAAATCCGTATGTACTTCGTCGGATTGGGTTTTCACGTATCCCGTTTCTAAGCTACTACTCCAATGAAGGCTTATCGCTGAACTGGCTGAATAATTTAGAGTTAAATTTATATTTTAAGTCTTTTTAAATAAAATTTTATCTCTGAAAATTTATATAAACTATTATATGAAAAAACTATATCAGTAGTTGTATAACGTAAACAATAACTACTACACTTTCCGTGGAACTATATCTCACAATTCTATCTATCTATAAATATAAGCGAAGGTCCCCTGATGAAGAAAAAGAGAAAAAAACGATCCCAACTGTGAAATCCTCATGCATATTCTTATACCGTATAACTATTCTCTTAAAAGCTTAACTAAACATACCTCTATCAAATTCAAAAAAGAGAATATTCTCCCAACTTCATTTCATTTTATCGAATTGATGTGTATTTGAATAACCGGAGCATGAGAGAGCGAATCACCAAACTTGATATTTTCTCTGCACAGGTGCCGAGAATAATTATATCGGATGGTATTCTTTTGTTTTGAATCGAATGAAAAAGTTTATCTTTCGTTTTGATCTCTTACGATGGCAATTTCAATGGCAAATCGGCGGCACTGGAGAAAAAATTAACATTTCTCACAGAAACAATATAGCTTGCTAAAATCCTTATCTATCTTTATCTCTCTCTCTCTCTCTCGTATACATACTTACTCGTTGAAAAGTCCCAGCAGCAACGCACGACCACACGTGTATGCACACGCGCTTGAATCTCTCTCTCTCTCTCTCTCTCGTTCTCTTTCTCTCTCTTTCTCTCTCTCTCTCTCGTTCTCTCTCTCTCTCTGTTTCTTTCTCTTTCTCTCTCTCTCACTCTCTCTCTCACTCTCGCTCTCTCTCTCCACACCTACACGTAAAAAGCAAGATAAAAGAGCCGAAACCACATCGTATCGCGCTGAGTAACCGAAAAGTCTAAGAGAAAAAACAAAAACTTACCATGCACGACACGGAAGATGCTCGTCGACTAGGAAGCAGAACGGCAGCAACAACCTCGGCAGCCGGCGACTTTTTCACGTGTACAACAAAAGAGTCGGCGACCTGTCAGAGCGAGCACTTCTCAGCTGCTGCTGTTGCTGCTGGACCATCGTTAGCGGTGGCGAGCTTGCTCATGCCTTTCTGCGACTGCTTTACACTATCGGCTAATTGTAGAACAACACGTACTTGCACCACCAAAAACACATATGTGCATATATACACACTATCACGGCAATATCACAGTTTTCTACGAGCGAGAAAGTTCTCGCCGACAGCGCATGTTCCTCGACGTTTGTTGGCGGAGACTCGTATAGTTGTCGCTCACAGCAGTCACAGCTAGCCGAGTGGCAGGCAGGCACAGACACACAAGCTTGAACGCTAGCTGCAGCACACGCCGAGTCCGAACGACGAACAACACAACAGATAGACACCGAGAGAGAACCTGAGTGAGAGAGAGAGAGAGAGAGAGAAAGAGAGAAAGAACGAACAAGAGAAAGGATAACGCAAGAGTGTGTGCGTATATGCGTTATATATGCCGATGAGAGCGGCGTTGCACGATTTAACTACATCTCGCGCTTTTGCACGGACACCGAAAGAAAGAGAGAGAGAGAGAGAGAGAGAGAGAAAACTTTTGCTCCTTTTCGCTTTTATTTGTATTTCTTTCTTCTGCAATGCGTTTATCAATAAAGACTTATCACAAATCTATCGATAATTATATATTCATTCAATTTATATAACTGATATTGAATTAATTATTATATTTACAATACAATTATATGTATATTATAGTAAATGAGTGAATGTTTGTTGAAATAGTACTGGCAATCGGATTTAATGGAAACTTATTAATTTGCTGGTCTGCAAACTTTCAAGAGGTGACATTCCTTAATTAATCGATAAATTCGTTTGGCGAGGAAATTTAATTGATTTCTTATAAATTTTAAGGTGTATCTATATTTTGTACTCCAATTGTAAGCTGCTGATAAAAGGAATTTTCATGTAAAAATATATTTCTTATAATAAACTTTTTTTTTCTCTATATTGCAAATTTTCAGTATAGTAACCAATTAATTTTTATGTAAGAAGTAATGTTTTCCATCGAAATAATACACTCAATTTATATTCCATAAAAAATAATGAATTATACAGAAACGGAAGTTGCGGATGCAAATTTATTGTGAAAAAATCATCGTGAACAAAGCAGGGCAGGTAATCTTGGCAACACTGTTCATAGGTGCTGGCCCTGGTGGTGAAGAGCGAAAAGAGACAGAACTATGAACGAGAAGAAGGAAAACGTAAGCGAATTTCGTACAAAATGGCATCAAAAGCTTGACATTTGTTTTTCTTTTTCTAATTTTGTTGTTAGTTTATTTAGAACGATAAAGCTACTCTAGTAAACACATAATCATAAGGTAACTTTTCTTTGTACCTTAATTACTAACCCTTACTACATTTATTATTACACAACCATCATTACAAATATACCACTTATTCTTTTCTAACCTCAAATAGGCTTATTAGTTTTTAATTTTGTTTCAAAACAAAACAAATAAACGTATTATAAAAGGTTGTAAAATCTCAAAATACACTTTTATAAACAATTGAAATATTCCTTTTCAATAATTGTCACTTATTATTCCAACTTCTGCATTATAGGTTTAGAACTGATTTAAATACAATTGTATCATTAATGTTTTAAAATATAAATAATTAAGTTAGTTAAATGTTTTATAACTTCAATAGTATCATTATTAATAGATTAATTATTTTTATTTTAGGTAAACATTGAATCAAGAATGGCTTCTTCAGATGCAATTCAAGTCAGCTCATTGCCACTTCCTCCTGTTCAATATATAAATTTATACACAGATGAAAATGTTAGAAGAAATAGAGCTCCAAGGCCACCTCCTCCTATTCAAGATAATTACTCAATGTTTGATAGCATTTTCAATGCAGATGATACTATCATAAGACCTTTAGAAGCCCAGGGAATTAAAAGGCTATATCCACAACATTTTGACAGAAGGCGAGAACTCAAGAAACTTAACCATTCACTACTTGTAAATTTCTTAGATTTAATTGATTTATTAGTACTATGTCCAGAGAATCCTAGAAGAGCAGAAAAGGTACTTAACATTATCAAAAATTTCTATGGAACAATCATGATTTGAATTAAAGGAAAAAGCTTTTAATATAAAGTTTAATAAGCAATCCTTTCATATAATAATTTAACACACTTCATATATTTTTTGTCAGGTTAGTAGAAGAAAAGGATACCTCCAATTTTTCATGCTACATCAAAATTAACTAAAGGCTTGTAGAACAAAAGGTATCTTGGAATCTATGTTTATTTTTAATTTTGCAGAAAAATTATGATATATAATTAAAACAGATTATATATTTGAAAGTGTTTATTTCACTTGTCAAGTTTGGTTGATTTGGATATGATATGAAAAATTGAAGGAGACTTTATTTCTACTAATCCAAGAATTTTCTTTTAAGTTATTGTTTAATGATTCAACTGGTTTAATATAATTGACTATTAGTAATTAAAATTAGTAAAATAACTGTTAAATTAAATTCAATATATCGCAGGTAGAAGATTTAAGTTTGTTATTCATTCACATACATCATTTGTTGAATGAATTTAGACCTCATCAAGCTCGTGAAACTCTCAGAGTAATGATGGAGTTACAAAGAAGACAGCGCTTGGAAACAGCAACAAGATTTCAGAAACACTTAGAAAAGGTATGTGATTAAAATACAATTTATCTGAAATTTCATTTATAATAATTGTGAAAAGTTGAGAATTGTGACATTGTTTCATTTATTTAAAAAATTATTCTCAACTGTATTTAAGGTTCAAGAAATTTTGCAAAATGCTTTACAACAGCTACCAGACACTTCTGAATTAGAAACAAAGCTCTCTGCTCAAACTGAGGATATGGAAATCGACAATGATTCAAGTGCAGAACAACAAGCTGTTGATCCATGTAGCCCAAGGGATCGCATCATGTGTAAAGTGATAGATGATATGTTAATGTTAAACACTTTGTATTGAAGACTGATTTACTAAAGTATTCCTCTAGTATTATCTTAGTTAATAAATAGCTTAAATATTAATATAAACTTGGTGTTTATGAAATAATAATTCATTTCGATATTGAAGTAAAATATTTTATTACCATTGTGAAAATGTATTTACAGAGCATAGAAATAGCACAATATTCAGAAACTCAAAGTGACTAGGGAAGAGGGAAGGTTAGGTTTAATGAAAAAAATAACAATTACTCACCTTGAATCAATAGCTACTGAAATGCTCTGCACTATACATGTTGCATATACCAGCTTGATTACATCCAGTCATGTGTATCTAAAGTAATAAAACTGAAAAATTAATTATTGTTCTGCTCCATGTTTATCTCTACTTTCAATAGTAAATAGTGCTATAAGTCTGAAAATTATTAATTTTACTATATTAGTTTTATTATAGTAATTAACTTTACTCTTCCTGCATAGCCTTTGACCTGCATCTAGAAAAATATGAAAATTGATTGTAAGAAAAGATTAATCAAAGAAATGATATAAATATTGCATTTCAACCATATCAAAAATTGACTTAACTAACTGGAAATTACATGTAGAGTAAACTCTACAATTAACCATTTAATAGAGACGAGAAAATTTACTTTACATTTCTTTGATTTGTTTGTTAAATTTTATGCGACTAATCGTAAGTTTCTGCTGTGCTATATACTGCACCTGTCAACACAGTATGGTTATTAAAATATAATATCATATAAATATTATAGGATACTAAGGAAACAGGATTACAGTTATTTAGGATAGGAATTGGAAACACATCACATCAAAGCTGGAGGAAAGCGCCACTTGAATCGTTCTTTGTGAATATTACAATTCTGTTGTTTGTGTTCTCCTATCATTTTTGTTTTGTTTTTTTTGTTTTTTTAATTAAAAAAATTTTTTTTCTTTTTGTTTTTGTTAGATGCACATTTTCTGTTTGTTTAAGATGCACACTGATTAATTGTGGATTTGTCTTTGAAAATGAAATTATTGTTCTTAATTTCTCTTTTTATCTTATATAAGAAAGATATTCCTTATTTATATTTCGTTTGCTTTCATCAAAACGTTTCATACAAATAATCGTATGATGATTCAAATATCACGCAAAAAATCTCAACGCACCTCGTTACATCACACAATGTAAATTTAAAGTGTTCATTGGATGCTAAGCACAAAAAATATCAAGGATTCAATAACTCAAATTCCTTAGAGACGTTAACGTTATAGCAAAGTAAAACAATCCGATTGTGAACTTGGTGACAACGTTAATTGATATAAAGCAAAATTTTTATAAGATGAGCGCTTAAATAAATCGATATCACGTACTTCTTAAAGATAAATCGCTCTGTCGTATAAAATTATTTCAAATATTGAATACTATCTTTTTTAAATATGAAATAAGTTCACTTCGCTTTGTCACTCAATAAAGTTCTATCCACTTTTTGTTCTTATTAGTCTGGTTCAATTTAGCAACCAGAAGGAAGTTAATTGGAGATAAATTAGTATGGGTTCTTTCTCCAAGTACCACGACCACGTGTTGGTCTGAAACCACCTCCTCTTCCACCAACTTTATTATAACGATTTTGGAATCGTCCTCGGTTACCTAGAAACAAAAACAATATTAAAATAATTTATTCGAAGTCAATGATATTATTAATAACAACGGATATTTCAAAAGAATAATTATATTACATACCATAATTTGATGAAATGTTTGAACTGTATTTTCCACTTGGAGGAGTGTAAAGTTGTTTGTTATTCCTTGGAGTATCTTCTTTAGGTTTCTTATTCGCACTATGATGATTGTTGGCATTACTATTTCCGTTTCCAAATGTGATAGGTGTATGACGTTTTTGTCCAACTGCCACTTTTTCATCCTTTTAAATTACAAACAAATTTATTGAATAAAAATAATAGAAATGAAAAATAATTAATCCTTAAAAATCGTTTTACAATCATTTTGATATCTGTATTAAATAGCTTACCCTTTTAGCTTTTGTAATAACAGTCTTCCATGAAGGATGAATCACGCTCTTGAAACTTGGAGGGGAATGGAATAAATCTTTGATAAGTGTATTAATATTGTTTGTAGTTTTCAAAGCTATGACTTTAATTTGATTTTCATCCGTTTTAAGTTCTTCCTCACTTTTTCCATTTATAGCTTCTCTTAACTTTTTAATATACCCTTGAATTCCACGTGCAAAATACTGTAACCGTAATCTGAATTCCTTTAACTGATCTGCATCTTTTAATAAAAATTCTGGTACTTGTTTGCATAGCTTATGAAAAGCATATATTAAACATTCCACATGACTAAATTGAAGTTTAGGTACTTCCGTTGCTTCACTTTCTGGAGGAAGTGGCATGAATGTCTGTAAATAGAATAAATAATTTTCGACACTCTGTGCGGAAAGTGCGTTTTTCCCGCACGCTCGGCAAAAAACGTGCGTTGAAAATCGCACTTTCCACACGTCCTATCAAAAAATACGGTACGGTTCATGTTCGGGAAAGAGTTTCTCGTCTCGTGTACCATTCCACCCTCGCTTCGCTCGGGCATAAACGCTACACGAGACTAAAATCTACTTTCCCGCACTTGTATCGTAATGTACTATATTGTTACATCATGCAAAATTTTTTCATTCATTAAAAGTTAGGAATAAGATCTACTTGAAAATAATTATTTTTATACAATTAGATTTTCACTTACAATTAAAGCATTATAAAGTTGTTGCACTTTCTCCTCAGGCTTTTCAATTTTACCACAATGTTCTATTAATTCTGCTAATAGCTTCAAAAGTTCCAATTGAATGTCCCCTCCATCAGGTGAAACAATTAAAGACAAATGTGGCAAAACTTGTACGCAGATGTATGAAACAAATTTGGATGAATTGACTTGAGACTGTAAAGAAGAAAATGCCATGCTAAAACATATTGACATAACTTTTTAGAGTTAGAAATAATTACTCACGCTAAAATAAGGTAAAGCATGTTTAATACATTGTATCAATCGACTGCACTGTTCCAAATTTGTATGCTTAAATGGCACAGAAAGTTCTGCTTGTTCCACTGCTATATCTACTAGTTCCTGTTGTCCATTTACAGTAGACCCAAGTCTGGTCCAAGCAAGTAGTTCCATAATATTATGGAATTCATCAGCAGTAACATCCTATAATTAAATATATATTTCAAATTACTTTTTTCAATCACATTGAACTAATTTTAATCAAAATAATTAAATTTACCTGTAAAACCTTTTTACATTCTGATATAAGAATATCTTCTGGTTCTTTGGTTATTACATCCTTTCCTACAGTTTTAAGTTTAGTTGACAAAAATTTAATGCATCGTTCTCTGATACCATCTTCTCCATTTAGGATTTGTAAAAAAAATCCACTGAGGGCTCCTTTAAACCGCAATATTAGTATCAATTGGTATGAGTAAATTTAATTTAACAGTACTCAAGAATCTAAATTGAAACCAAACCTTTAGGATCATTTTTTATCAAAGTCATTATGCTGTTATGAACAACATCTAGTTCAGAAGTATCTTGTGCAAGTAATAATTGTGCCAAAATATCTGCTATTCTTGCAGTGTGCTCCTTGCTATCTTTGCACAGAGCTGGTAAGTCTTTTATTGCTTGCTTACGTATCTAATACAATATATTAAAATATTATTAAAATTTTTCAACCAAGAAACACATTTTTCTTAGAAATGAAAATTTTTTTTTTTAAATTAATGAATTTTATAGTACAGCAGTTCTAAATCTACTGTTAAACTCAAAATTATTTCATGTTTATATTTAGGCTGGGTTTGCTATATAAAGATGATTTTGTACAATCTGATTATACATGAATTTTTTAATTTTATTTTTTAACCTATTTTTTAACTGAACAGAAAACATGAACCAATATATTTATTAGAAAATAATTACTACTATTGAATATGGATATTTTCTATAATAATTTCAATAAAAAATATTGGTCAGATTTCTATATAATTTCTGCAGGAATAATTAAATATTTCCAAAAATTATATGTTTACAATATTACTAATTAACTGTTTGTTACTTTTTCTATATAAAGATATACAGGTAATACTTCATTTTTAGAAATAAATATATGAAAATTAAAGCATTTTATTTTTAGTGTTCCATAGAAAAGCTTTGTGTTGGATAAATGAAATTTAAAAAGTTATATTTAATGAAATCATGTAGAATCAGTATCTATACAAAGCAAACCCTGCACATTTAAAATAACTTCTAACCAGAAGTGTTTATATGAAAAAATATAAAGTATATTCAATTATCTAAAAACTGAAAATCTATCAATGAATTAAAAATAAATAGATTCAAGAAATATCTGATAATGCTTTAAAAAAAATTATAACAAATATGTTGTAAAATTAATGTTTAAAAATGTTTTATGAAAATCAACTTACCGACATATCTTCATCTTCACACAAATCTAAATGTGCATCAATCGCTTTATCAGCAAAAGTAGGAAAATGTTTAAAAAATCTGGCAATAAATTGTGAGGCTAGTCGCTTTTCTTTTGGACTTCCTTTTACCGCTTTTAGAATTTCTAAGTACTCTGCCTCGTGCTAAAATAATATCATTAAATTCATAAATTAAAATAGTTTATCTATATGACAAATAAATGATTAAAATAATTATCAGAATGAAAAATTGATACTTTGGAAAGCTGTTACTAATTGTCCAATAATATTTGAAAGGATACATTATATTTTAGCACAGCAGTTTATGCCATGTAAACTGTAATTGAACCAAAGTTCAAAGTTGTAAACACTGAGGCAAGCACACATTCTATACCCTATTACCGTACACTCATGCCCAATATGATCATATTAGTGTATGTATAGTACGTAATTTTAAGTAACCGACGAAGTGACCACCGTATAATTAATATTAATTACGAAAATATTTTGAAGTAATGCTTGTAGTTAAATGTATCGTATATTTTTTAACAAAATCAATAAAATACTTCTTACCTCTGAGAGTTTGTCTTTGGCATCGGCAAGAACGCCAAAATTTTTATACAACTTTTCAATGCTATCTGTACTCATATTTAACACTTTAATTTTAACGTTTATGTCGACAAGAAAGTCACATAAATGAAAAAATGTTAATGATAATCTAAATCCTAGACAAAATCCAAAAAATGGTAGGTTTATTAAAACATAAACGTGAATAACCCGGTTACTAACAAATCCACAGAAACCACGCTAAATGTTCGACGAAAAATGGCCGGCGAGTCACAGCTCACTCGGCTCAGCACTCACCCGTCCGGCATAAAACGACAGGGTAGGTAACTTATTCGTTCCTCTGGGCTGGGCTGGTCCGCTGGTCCCTTTCCCCTATGAGCTAGATGTTGCAGACTGCAGGAATGCCAACATTTGTTTCAACTAGTTAATTTAATTCAGTTAACTGTTAGCTTTGCAAAGTTTTATTTTATAAGTTAAAGTTGAATAGTGATAAAAAATATAATAAACTTACTGTTGATTCATTTATTTTGTAATATTTGTTTTTAATAAATAATGAAATTTCGTTGCAATAATATTCACTATCCATTTTTCAAAGTAATGAAAACAATATATGAGATATTTAATTAGAAAAATTTTTGATTGGATGAATTAAGTTGAATTGTGATCACTACTATATCAGTAATTAATATTGTGTATGTAGTAATGTAGTAACGCATATAAATTGCAAAACGATAACCGGATGTACTTTATCTAACCGGAAGTGGTATATCTTTTACATAGGAGCGAGAGAAACAGTGAGAGTATATAGAGATAAATACAACTGACGACTCCGTCAGTCCGTTTGCAGCTTCATTCCTTCTTCACCGGCAAGCCGGGCTTTGTAAGAACGCCATTTTGTTTGTTTCCTCGTAGAAAACCATTTATAGTTTCCTCGTGGTAACGCTATTTACGACGCATTTTCACCAAATAGCGATATATTGACAAATTATACGTAAATATATTCTACATAGCATTGCCCTGAGGAGGAGGTTACTGAAAACATTTGCAGCTCCATATTTAGCGAGTGACCGTTATGTCTCACGGCGGAAATAATAGAAACGAGTGCAGAATTTACGTGGGAAATTTGCCACCTGATATTCGTACCAAAGACATTCAAGATCTGTTCTACAAATTTGGCAAAGTTTCTTTCGTTGATTTGAAGAATCGTAGAGGTCCACCTTTCGCCTTTGTTGAGTTTGAAGATCCAAGGTTTGTACTCGTTTTTTCTCATATTTTTGCATTTTGTCATATCATGTTTATATCATTATTCATAATCGTAATAGTATTTTCCTAATATCTTAACATTTTGACCTATGCAAAATAATTCAAACTTAAGGCTGATGACAAAAACAAGTAAGAAGTACAAAAAAATTATGGATTAATAAAACTATGCAGCTTGTATGTGTATTGTATGCTCAACCTTGGATAGAAAGTCATATGGATTCTTAATATCGAAGTTTTTTTTAATTTGATTGGCGACTTTTTATTGGACAAATGCTCTATCTAAGGTACAGATTCATTTAGCCCCAATTTGACTCATATAATTTTTACTGACTCTAGAGATGCTGAAGATGCAGTCCATGCACGAGATGGTTATGACTATGATGGATATAGACTGAGAGTTGAATTTCCTCGTGGTGGAGGTCCAAGCAGTAACTTTCGAGGTGGAAGAGGAGGAGATAACAGCAGAGGAGGTCGAGGTGACATGGGTAATTCTCGTGGACGAGGACCACCAGCACGTAGATCTCAATACAGAGTACTCGTCACTGGATTGCCACCATCTGGAAGTTGGCAAGATTTGAAAGATCACATGCGAGAAGCTGGAGATGTTTGCTTTGCAGATGTCTACAAAGATGGAACTGGAGTAGTAGAATTTGTACGATATGAAGACATGAAGTATGCTGTTAAAAAGCTTGATGATTCCAGATTTAGATCACATGAGGTGAATTAATGATTTATAATATTTTATCCAATTTAAATATTTTACATAAAATTCTACATTAGTAATGATTTCGTGCTTATTTTTAATAGGGTGAAGTAGCTTACATAAGAGTAAAAGAAGATCATGGTGGTAGCGGTGACCGTAATAGAAGTGAAGATAGAGACAGAGGTCGAAGTCGTTCAAGAAGTTACAGTCCACGTCGTCGTGGTTCACCAACGTATTCACCGTTACGTAAAAATTATTCGCGATCAAGGTCACGCTCCAGGTCTCGCTCATACGATTAGAGTGTACGTATGGTGAATACTATGCTCCATAGCAATGAATTAGCATATTCTTGCTCCGATATACTGTACCTAACTGACAGTAAATTAAGCTAACTGAAACGTTCTAGTACTGATATAAAAGAAGCATGAACTTTGATTTTTTATGAATCTTTATAGTAGTTCGCGATTCAATCATTGAATTCTGTAAACATTACTAGCATATAGAATGTGTTTGCTCATCAACTTATATTTATTCATGAATTTATTTTTATCTACTACTTATCAGTTTCATCAGTACTTGAACACTAAGTAATCAATAAGGGATTATTAGATAATATGTTTTACAAAAAGAATTTCCATTGAAAAAATTGCAAATGGATAAAATAATAATTTGACTTGATTTTAAATATGAATTGTACAACTATTTTTTGAGAAAAATTCTAGTAGAACCATATGACATTATTTTTTTTGCTAAATTGATTGAAGTAATCCCTCATTTAGTATCACAACAAAACTTTCAAAACAAGAAGGATAATACAGTGTATTAAAGTTTCATTTTATTTCCAAAGATTTATACAGTAATATTTGCATTACTAATTTTATCTCCTTTCTTGCTTTGTAAAGTATTAAGGTAATACTATTTGATATTAAGATCAATGATGAACTGTAAAAACAATTTGATGTAAAATACCTCGAAAAATTTTAAATGAAATTTTTAACTTTGTTGGTGCGAGTTTTTTTTATATGTATGAATTAATTCAATGACAAAATTGTACTTAACTTACCATTACGGATAAAAATGTCGAGTTTAATGAAATTAAAGTATTAATATTATTTTAATGCTATATTAGTACATTATGATTATACTATCCTTTATTGTCTATAACTGCATTATCTGAATTACAAAAAACAAACTCGCTTCAATAAAGCATAAAACATCTATAATAATCATTGTTTATTGTAATAAAATGGAAACTAATGTATTTTTTCTTCTTTTGTATATTGGATCGGATTGTAACACAATGAATGAAAAACCTGAAATCTTCACATGACGATCTTACTTCTTGGATGGATGTTACTCCCGCGACGCGTTGCTTTGGACGGATTTTACGCGGAAAGCAAAACATTGTCGGGAAAGGATCGCGAGGATAGGATAAAAAGCGAGGGATAAAGGATTTGTGCGCAAAGAGGATTTTAAATGGATTCAAAATTGCTTTTCTGGAAAGGATATGTTGCAAAAAACAGGATCAATGACCCTGTTCCCAAATTTTGTAGTGAACCTATGTACGAGAAATTGCACACATCTCTTAATCATTTGGATGCATGAACAATAAAATTTTTTCACATTTTTTTTTTGTGAAGACCTAGTGAAGGAGACATTTGTAACTTTAACAGTAGTATCATTGATGCAGTGAATGTTCCTGTTTTTTAAGAAGTTACAGAAGAGGAAATCAGGAAGTGTGTGCAATATATCCTACAAAGTCTTGGGAATTCGTGTTTTGTAACATTAGACCTACCCCAGGATATTGAGGATAAATTGGAGACATTGGATTCATTTTTTATCTTTTGTGAACGACAGAATAAGTTCTTTTATCTTTGGAGACTAATGGATTTTTTATTCGAAACTTGCATAGAACTCTGCGGGAGTGATTTGGATTTTGCATTTGGAAAGTCATGGAATCATTATAATTGAAGAGGAGATGAGGATTTCGGTTCTTCGAATTGAACATTTTTTAATAAAAATTGAACAAAAAATTTATTGGATTTTTGGATAGAATTACTTCGCCGATCATTGGATACCTTGGAGATTGGCCGGAAGAATTTAATGCGTTTTAATGACAGGTATTTGCAAGCCGGTTTTTTAATCGAGATACCTCATCTTCTACAATGTACTGCATGCATTTGCTTTAATATTATTCTTCAAATTACTTTTTATAACTCTTTTTATTCACTTTTTATCCTCTTTATCGACGTCCGTACTCAAACAATTTTAACAGCTTCGTTTCATTTACTAATTTATAAAATCCCTTTTTTATGCACAGATAAATCTTTAATTTGCTTTACAGCTTATTCTCAAATCTACAATTGCATTATCATTAATTACGCAGATAGTAAACAAGACGATCGAAACGTTGTTATATTCTTTTACAAATTTATTCAATTAATAATTTGTACCCTGAAAAATGTCACTCCTTATAATATTTTTTTTAAGTTTATATTTATAAACTTTATTTTCATTGCGTACAGATAAATAATAATGAACTAATCGGATTATAGTTGTTTTTTTAATTATAAATTTGATATCATTGAACGCAACGATGAATTTTGTGAAGGATCATTTCGAAATTTACGGAAAAATAAACTGAATACAAAACTTATAATATAATTTTTCAACGTTTTATTATTAATTTTTATTCAGATTACTACGTTTGAATTCCCTTTTTTACAAAATGAATTATTTTGGTGGTAGATAGTTTATATAGTGCCCCGAATTCAAATTAAAGTAGATAATGTAATTGCATGGTATTAAAATCCATTCAAACGTTTGTCACACCACGTTATAGTGACATGCAAATACACAAACACACACACACACACACATTCTATCAGGCAAGCCTCTACATTTGTCATTGTTATGTATAAAATTTCATTTTGCACAAACAAACAAGTCCTTATATAACTGTGTAAAAAAGTAGAAAACGTAACGAAATCTATATTTTTACATCGAAATTAATAACACTTTCCATTGCTGCGGTCATTAATACAAATGATTCTACTGTAGGTGCCAACTGCTATATATATATATATATATATATATATATTATTATCATCATTAGCAATTGATAAAATCTTAATGCATGACCATTTTCCTAAATGTCGTGTTACCGTATACAAATGATTAAAGGTCTTTTAAAATACAGCTGAACCATATTTTTAAAATTATTTGGAATGTTTACAATTTTCTGAAACAATCAATTGTCTACAACGGAAGATTGCTTATTGCCTATACAAAGGCGAATGAAAAATAGTACGTGGAGTAGAAAAGGAGAAAAAATATAAACGTTCAAGAAAGGTATGAGCTTTCTACATATTTTATGTTTAGGTTTAATATGCCCATGTAAGTATTTTTCGAAAATAAAAAAAAGATTCATTTGACAACTGATACATCCAAGATTGTTCCTTATTTATTATATACCTACTTCCCTATCATTTGAATTTTGATTTAAAATTTTATGTGCTTAAACAAAAATTATACAGGGTGAGTCATTTTAATTTCCCCAGTCTAATAACTTTTGAAACAAGCAAATTACGCAAAAATGTTTCAGACCAAAGTTGTAGGGGTTCAAGGGGGACATCTAGGGGTGACTTTGAAATTGACCTTGAGCTTGACCTTGACGGTTTTCTCAAGGTCATTTCTATTTTTTTAATGGAAACCCCTATTTCTGATCTCAGGATCAGAAAGAGCGGGAAATTTTACGTTCAAGTATCTATTTAGTTTTTTTTCATAAGAACATAAACAATATTTCAGTTTTTACTTAAGAAATTGAAGCCGCTTTCAAACATCAAAAGGTTTAACGAGCATCGAAGACCTTTGTCGTACTTCTATTCTCAATGTGAAGCAAAGGTCAAATTCTTGAAAATTCTCTTATTTTTGTTACATTTCGAGGCGAAGCTTTTATCGCATATGACCGTTGTTAAATAAACTTCCAAAGAATAAGGGACTGGCCATGTACTAACGATGTTGATGTTTAAGATCATAAACTTCCTATCTTTAGCACTACCCAGGAACAACGACGTGGACGTAATAGGATTATGTTCCCTCTGGGGTGCTTTATTAACGTGAGTCCCCTTGCCTCTCACGATTCGGGGTGCTTTATTAACGTGAATCCCCTTGCCTCTCACGATTTGGGGTGCTTTATTAATGTGAGTCCCCTTGCCTCTCACAATTTGTGATGAAACTAGAATAAACTTATTTCCTATCGGTTTTGCTCGAAATTATTACCATTTACGTCGATGCATTGCCTGAGCCTCTGTTCGAAGCTTTCAATAGTGCGCAGTAAGATATCTCTAGAGATTTGTCTACATGCAACTCTAATCCTTTCTATCATATTCTCCCTTGTTGTGGGCGCTTCGGCGAACACAGTATTTTTTAAGTATCCCCAAAGGAAGAAATCTGGGGAAGTTAAGTCCGGTGATCGTGCAGGCCAAGCAACTGGACCACCTCTTCCAATCCACCTTTGTTGGAAATTTCTATTTAAAAACTCTCGTACAATTAAAGCGAAATGCGGTCCTGCACCGTCCAGTTGTATCCACATTCGACGTCTAGTCTCAAGATCTACGTCTTCAAGTAAAAGTGGGAGATGATCCCTTAAAAGTTCTAAAATAGTATTGCCGTTGACGTTTTCTTCAAAAAAGAATGGCCCGATGAGATGACCATTAACTATTCCACACCATACATTTACACTCCAACGATGTTGATTATCGACTGGTCTGTACCAGTGAGGATTCTGATCAGACCAATAATGACTGTTGTGACGATTCAATTGGCCAGTACTATGAAACGTAGCTTCATCAGGAAAAAGGACATAATTAAAAAAATTCGGCTCCTGCAAAATCATCTGTAGAGCCCACCGACAGAAATTTACTCTGTTTCTCATATCATTAGCGTTTAATGCTTGCGTTAAGGTAATATGATACGGATGATATCTATTACTTCTTAAAATTCTAATAACGGTTCTCTGAGGTATTCCTGTTTCTCTCTCTATTTGTTGGCTGCTGATATGAGGATTTAGGTGAACCAATCCTAAGACAACCAAAACCCTAGCATCTCTATCATCATACTCATGTCTTGGTCGACTTCTTCATAGATGCCCTTGTCAAGCTCTTTCTTCAAGACGATGAATGGTACGGTGATCAGGATGGCGCCTTTGTGGGTATCGAATTCGATACAACCTTGACGCTTCACGGTAATTACCTCTACATTCTCCTAAAATCCAAATCATATCAACTATCTCTGTTGGGGTAAAATCAGCCATATTTAAAAGATTTTTTCAAAAAACCTCAATACAAATCAACAAAGGCAAAGATCATAGAAAGATGATACAAATTAAATATTACTGAAAACAGAGGCAATATTGTCCAAATTAGATTTCATATGATCGATGGCAATAAGAAAGGTCTCTTATTCAAATATGAAGAAATAATGATAGTGATACAATGAACACAAGCATGGTTAAAACAAAAGTAATATTTAAAGCTTTTTCAAAATTGAAATCACGACTGAACGTATTGCGATTACTTTCTAAACGACTTCCAAATGTAATAGATTCTTCATTGAACATGAAATTTATCCTTATGTATTTAACTTTTACTCTTATTTCTTTGCAGAACATCAGATTGATACTGAAATAGTTTCATTAATTTAATAGACTTGTAATAGCAAATTATTAGCAACAACTTCCAATATTTGAAATTTATTAATAATAATCATACAGTCCGGTGAAAAATAAAAAAGGATAGGGAACGGAAACAAGAATAGTCCCGTAAAATTTAAAAAAATTAAATTTAAAAAATTTTTAAATTTAAAAAATTTAAACCCTGTAAAATTTCCTGCTCTTTCCGATTCCGAGGTCAGAAATAAGGGTTCCCAATAAAAAAATAGACTTGACCTTGAGAAAGCCGTCAAGGTCAAGCTCAAGGTCAATTTCAAAGTCACCCCTAGACGTCCCCCTTGAACTCCTACAACTTTTTTCTGAGTCATTTTTTCGTATTTTGCTTACATTGTTCGATTCTTGTTCCAGGATAGTTTTGACCTTAGCATGACCTTAAGGGTTTATTTTGACCCATGTTAAAAGATGTTATCTGGATGTAAAATTTCCCGCTCTTTCCGATTCCGAGGTCAGAAATAGGCGTTCCCAATAAAAAAATAGACTTGACCTTGAGAAAGCCGTCAAGGTCAAGCTCAAGGTCAATTTCAAAGTCACCCCTAGATGTCCCCCTTGAACCCCTACAACTTTGGTCTGAAACATTTTTGCGTAATTTGCTTGTTTCAAAAGTTATTAGACTGGGGAAATTAAAATGACTCACCCTGTATAAGGGCTGAGCTTATGCCCACATATTTCACTCTGAAAACTGGTTTCCGTTTCTAGTTCTATGCAATGCTTTATTCTAGAGGTCTACCTTGTCAAAATGAATGTCAAATTATAATAATCTATTATATAACCATTTTCATATAAGCTACTTTCGCCATATTTAGTTTTAACAAAAACGGATATCAAATTATAATCTATTATATAACCATATCCATATAAGCTGCTCTCGCCATATTTAGTTTTAACAGTTTTAGCGTTTTATATTGTTGCATGCAACTCATATGTTAATTAACAATGACAGCACTCGTACAAAACCTTGATTTTAACGTATCCTACACATTTTTCTTTATTTCGTACGTTAATTATCTAATGTGGATTCCAACACTAGCAATAATTCTTTTGGTTCTGCCATTTAATAGAGCTTTCAATATTATACGTACAAATTATAAAAAGTTGTAGAAAGTGGATTGAATATAATCATCAGAAAAATAAGTAAACATGCGTACATAACGTAGGGCGTAGATTCAATTCGCATAGTAACGATTGAATGCACCGTCTGGTAGCAAGAGAACAAAGTTACGGAGACGGAAAAACATTGTACACAAGCATAAGACAAATTGCTAGAAGTTGTAAAAAAAATGGCTTATACACATGTTCGTTGTATAATTTCCACTTGTCAACAAAGGCCATACAGTGGCATTTCATCTCACAAATTTCCAAAAAATAAACTAAGAAGGAAATGGACAAGACTTCGTACAGTAGATGAGCAGTACATAACCTCTTCAGACGTTACTTGTAGTCGCCTCTTGAACAGCTTTGATTTCTTTCTTTGTAGATAATATAATATTTAATGTAATATAAATAACCGAGTGAATATATAAATATGACACATAAGAATACAATCATTAAAAAATGTAATATAAAATATTGTAGATGATCAAAACAAACATGCAAGATTAAAATTAAATGTTCTAAGTGAAAATTTACCTCAACGGTATTTTTTATCGGTTGGCAAAAAAAAAACCGTATAAAATTTTCTCCGAAATAAAATAGTAAAATGCATTGTAATTCTTCTATAAATCAATAAAGTATTTATTATCGAAAAAGAAATAAGAAAATGAAACTTAATGTAATTTTATTTTACAGTATGAAATCAAATGTTGATGGCTCATCAGAGCAAGAAAATGTAACTAAAATTTTGAAAGAGAAAGTAACGGTATTTACAGATAGTATTTCAACAAACATTCTTTCGGTTCACCAAAAATAATAATAATCCAATCAATAGAGAAATTTTGGTGCAAAAATTCGATGAAAGATTTTGACAACGGAAATAGTAAACGCATATACTTTTAAACTCGAGACTCTAGCTGGAAAATTTGTTATAATGGTTCAAAGTTAGCGAAAACAGGTTTTTATTTCTGCAAGCCAACGAAAAAAAGTGTTGCGTAAAAGTTGGCGAGAATATTAAAAGCTATTATTTTCGTCCATTAGTTATTGCGCAAAGTGCAAGTAACCCTCGAAAATGACCCTTTTATATTATATAATAATATATAATATAATAAAATAATAATGTAATAATATATTTTATAACATATCGGATATTTATTGCAAAAATGACTTTTTTTAATGTTTTGCTTTTGATGGAAAGCTCTTATGATTCTAAAAAAATGACTTATTACACGATTTCATATTTTTATTCGTTATCGATTTATTCTTATTAGTTTATTAAAAGATGCCCAAAATACGAAGCTATAATTTTTTTTAGTCGTAGGTATCGAGTTGAAAGACAGCTCAAACTGTTAGTTAGGTAGTTAAAACGTCAATTTCAAGAAATGTTTATGGGCCAATGAAAAAATTGATTTTTATTTATTTATTTTCGGCTTTGAAAAAAGTGTACCTTTTTGAATTTAAATAATTAGATTTGCAGGTTTTCTATACATCATAGCGATTTGCTGTTTCTATATTTGCATAGTTGGGTTCGACACAGATTTTGAAAAAAAAGTTTATTTATGATGAATAGGAGCCGAGTTAGGTTTTTCTTTAATCATAGATCCTTCAAT